CAAAACCCAGGAATAGAACCCAGGTGGGGTGGAACGCTTCAGCCACCTTTGCTTAGACAAACCACCCAGAGGAGGCCAGCAGATGTGACATGAGACCTGAAACAGGACTGTGTCTTTCCGAATTGATGGGCCCAACGGGTACCCTGGGACACCCCACACGTCAGGGTTTAACACTACATCCCTATGTTTAGTACTCCATGTTCATGTTTGAGAATTGCACTCACAGCCCCACTTAAAGCAGTGACAGAAAACATGACCTTTTGAAAAATTAATGGCACCAGGGAGAGTGGCAGCAATCATCATTATTTTTATCTGCTCAGATGCTGGTGTCAGGCCAAAAAGCCTATAAAGCATGAGGCCTGACTTCATTTTTGAAAGGAGAAGAAATCCCAAGAAACTGCAAATGACATCAGGCATTTCAGATTGAAACTAGACAGATTCATTACCTTATCACAAGTGATATTCAGCCCACAGATTTCTGTCTTTTGCTCTGCCATCAGCCACAGCCTCCTTTCAGTCACATGACTTTCTTGCATTACTTGTTATTATCACTATTATTTACTATTCATGGGGAGTTGATGGCATACTCCAAAATGGACTGATGTGCAGGAGAGTATGTGCACTCTTTTTTAGTAGATGGGGAGTCTATCAAGCAGACTCCTGACAGTTTCTTCTACCTATATCTCAGCATCTAAACTGACATCAGTCTTGAAACTTAAAAAACCCCATGGCATTTCCTCATTGAGGACACACACAGCTTGCTTTTCTTCTGCATTTCTCCTCAGCCTCAGCAAGGAAGATGGGTTAGTCTTACTCCTGGCGTGATTTTAACAATGATAAGAGTTAGTACACCAGGTAAGACTTAATATACCAGCAGGACACCTAAAATGACAGAAGTAGAGCTTCCAAAACAAACTAAAATGGCCAGACCTTAAGCCCGTTCCCAGCAGCTCCCTGGATGGGTGCTCTGGGAGCTGATCGATACCTGCATTAGCTGTCCATGTTTCAACTCAGCACCAATGAAACAGGGTGAGGCTGAAGTAGCTGCCAAGAGATTTGAGACGGGATCAGGGGCCAGTCCAAAGGCCAGAAGCTGAGTTCCCCACTTGGCAAGTGCAGGGTTAACACCCAGGTGTGTGACCCTACAGAGAGTTTCATACCTGTGTCACATGATGGTGCTGCTGCTCGGCCAATGCACAACTTAAGTCTGTGTTGGCAGCAACACAAAGACAATTTGCAGGCTCTTCTTCAGTGCCCAGATCACTCTTGATGGGCATTGCTGAACAAACAACAGCCAGCCAAAGCACAGACATGCTGGGTGCCAGTTGTCAGTGAGAGGGAGAGATCCAAGAGCCTGTGGCACCTTCCAGCTTCCTGGGTAATTCAGGGAGCTGAAAAGATGTACAGCAGGAAAATGCCACAGATTCAAGTCCAGATTGCCAGCAGATGTTAAAACCCTAGGCTCCCTTTTTCTGGCCCTCTTGGGGTGACTTTTGCTTGAAGGTTTATTTATGTGCCTAACAAAACTGGGAGGCAAAATAAAGATTTTCTTCTGAGAGCACTCAACAGATAAGCAGCTGAAGGGAAAGAGCTATTTGGACATCCACCACTGGGATGTGACAAAGCATGTTATGGATATCAGGCCTGAGAGACCAGGAAAAAGCTGGTGAGTTTGCTGTTCTCCTTGGCTGTGGGTTCTCTCAAACATCTGTGTTCTCATCTTGAATCACTATGGGAAGCAAAAAATTAGCATGGGGTGAAGACCCCAAGTCACATAAGCACTACTACTGTGTGTCCCATCTAAGCCAATGTCAAATTGACATTCGAACCTGGCCCTCACTTGGAGAAGATTAATTTCTTGCCAGTTTAAAATAGAGTAGGATACTGGAAATACCAACTTTCTCTTACCCTTTCCTGCTACCAAAATCATGGATGGGCTCAGCTTTGGCCATGGCAGGTCGGGCTGGGAACCAGCTGGAGCTGGCTGTGCCTGAGAGAGGGGCAGCTCTTCCCACAGAAGCTGCTCCTACAGTCACACAAGCCCAGTATATAAACCCCATTCAATCGTCTTTCCAGCTGTGCTGCTGGAAGCCCCAGGCTGCTGCACAGCACAGCTGCCCTATTCCATTATATGGGCAAGAGGGCAACTACCCACTGTGCAGATCTCAAAGATGTGGTGTAAATCAAATCTGAGATACCAGCTCTGCAGTCTACTCCTTTGCTAACTGGTTAACAAAGCAGTAGCTATGACCATCGTTTTCCAAGAGAAATGTAGATTTTAATTTTAATACCGTTTCCTCACCCTGAACAATTCTCCCTCTCACACACATACTTAGTCAATTAATATCATTTTAGAAAAGCAGCAGATCTGGCTATTCCAACAGTAATGTCATTTTCCAGAGTGGAAAAAGATTTTTATTTCTTTGGAACAACATTCTTTCTCTTATTTTTCCTGAGGAGCTGTGGTTTTATGGTTTCTCTTACTGACAACCTTTGTTCTCTCCTGGAAACTGGTCAGGCTTCCAAGATCAAGCACAGAAACTGCATGCTTGGCTCTATATTAAGTCACATGGGAATTAAATTTAAGGGATCATTAGCACAGAAATTTGTTTCCTACTGTAATTGCTGCTCAGAGCACTTAGGCTGTTGCCAATTAGTTTTCACTGCAAAAGTAAACCTCTGAATTGTTTTCTTTCTGTTTTCTTTCAAAGAAAAGAAAGCAGCCCAGACTTCTGCTGTATCATGTAAAAATAGGTTCTGTGCTATGGGACCACAGTCAAACACCAGGGAATGGTCTGAGAACACTGTGTAGAAGGCACAGACCTCACTCCTGAAAATCTATTTAATATTAATATTTAATTGCTACCAGTACTGTTCAGTATCTTTATCAATAATATGGACATTGTGGGATTGAGTGCACCCTCAGCATATCTGCAGATGACACCAAACTGAGTAGTGCTGTTGACACAGCTGAAGGACTGAGTATTATAAGACTAGTAAAACACTAGAAAAGGTTGCCCAGAGAGGCTGTAGCCTGGCAGCATTCTGGAAACATTCATGGCCAGTTTGTACAGGGCCCTAAACACCTGCTGGATATTCAAGATATCTCTGCTTATTGCAGGGCAGTTGGTCTAGACGACCTTTAAAGACTTCTTTCAACCCTGACTATTCTGATTTTATGATTTCCACAACTTTAGGAAGACTAAAACTCTATAATAAACCAGAGCATAGCTATGCTGTCACTTTATGCGCTGAACTTGTTTTAGTTTGTGATAGTTGCTCCTTGTTCTGTCACTGGGCACTGCTGAAAAGTCTGGCACCATCCTTTGGCACGTGCCTTTGAGATATTTCTATACATTAATGGGATTCCCTCTCAGAAACCTATGGATGACTCCTGCCATCCGTGCTATACTTAGACTTGAATGCACTAATGCTGGCTTAACCTAGTGCACAAAACGAGAACATCTGTGTGTCAGACTAAGACCCAGTTGTGGGAGACCTTGTTGGGCTTCTTAGGAGAAGATGAGCTGCCTGGACTTGATGATCTTGGAGGTCTTTTCAACCCTAATGATTCTGTGATTCTGAGCTAAGGAATCATTAAACCCAAATGGGTGGCCTCCCACTCAAAACGGGAAGGAAGATTCATAAATGCTCATAGTTGAAAGGAACAACAAAAGCCAGAGGGTTTGCAAATAATCAGAAAGTTTTATTAGTAAATTACACACTTGGCATGGAAATTGGTATTTTAGTCCCTAACCTACTATATAAGCCCATGGGAATGAGTTTTAGATAAAGAGGTAGTGTGAAAGAGAAGACAGAAAGGGAAGATGTGAATTTAAGAGGAGGAGACAAAAAGAGAGAAGAAGAAATAACCCACTCCTGGTTCCGGTATTGATCCAGCTGAAGGGATGTCAACGCTGGTGTCAGAATCGATCCAGCTTCATGCATACAGCCAATGGGATATCCTGTGGGCACCACTCGGTTTTGGGGGATACTTCTCTGGACTGATTTCCCTCTCCTAAGCGTTTCTCACTTTCTATGCAATCAGTTATTATGGGCAGTCTGCTTTTTCAAACCACTCATGGAAATGGGTTGGAGGGCTTTGGGGATCTGAGTGGTCTGGATTCCTCTCCACAGTCCATGCCCCCACCCTTGACCTCATCCCTGTTCTTGCCGTGTGCTGTGTTGTGCCCATTTCCAGGGTCGATAAGAAGGATGCTTTTTCCCGGAAAAGTGCTGTCTTATGTAATTACGACCCTCTTTCTCCGGCCACACTCACGGATTCCCCACATGGGGCGGCCCGTCGGGAAAAGGCCGGGAGCGGAGCAGGCTCAGGGACTCCCCACAGGCCACGCTCCTGGGCCCGCCGCACCGCTAGGGGGCGCCCCCGCTCGCCCTCCGCCCGCCGGGCGCCCCGCCCCGGGCCAGCGGAGCGCCACCATTGGCCCAGCGCCCCCGGCCCCGCCCCCTCGGTGGTCTCGCGCGCGGCCTCTCCGCGTCCGGAAGTGTCGCCGTGGGTCTGGGCCTGGGTCCGGCCCGAGCGCGGCCCCTCCCGCTCCTCTCGGCCCCGCCAGTCTCCCCCGGCCGCCCCCGCCATGCACCCGCGGCGCCCCGACGGCTTCGATGGCCTCGGCTACCGCGGCGTTAGCCGCGACGAACTGGGCCCCGGCTCCAGGCCCTTCAGGAGCAGCTCAGAGCTGGGCGCCTGGGTGACCAGCCCGCCCGACATCCCCGGCAGCCGCAACCTGCACTGGGGTGAGAAGACGCCGCCGTATGGAGTCGGGACCCCTCTGGGCGGCGCCGGCTCCAACGAGGAGGCCAACCTCGGGGCGGGCGGCCCCAGCGCCGGTAAGGGAGGGCCCGGCCTGGGCCGGCCCGGCATCGGCCGCCGCCTTTCGGTGCTCCCGGGTCCCGCGCTGACCCCCGGTTCCCCTGAGCAGTGACCCGCCGGGACAGGCAAGGGCGGGCGGGCGGCGGCCCTGGGCTGTGCCGCGGCCAGGCCGAGCGCCGCCCCGGCCCTCCTTTTTACTGGCGGTGCTGAAGCGCCGGGGAAGAAAGTCCTTTAGAAGAACACGGACTGCTCCGTCTCTGCCAGTTGCGCTCCAGCACCGTATAACTCCCTGCAAATATGATCTGAGAGTGCCAGAAAGCGCCCCGCAACTTCTCGTTTAGCAGTGTGCGATCAGCTTGCTTCTCATTCCCCATGTAAACAATACCCTGCGGAAACACTCCGCCCTCTTTAAAGGGCAGGAAGTGCCTTTGGGTCTTAGAGTGCTGCGTTGCTGTGTTGGTGTTTGAGACTGCGTGGCTTCTCTCGGGTTTAAAGCGTGAGATGCTGACGTGAATCCTCCCCTCTCCCCCCTCATGCGTGGTAGCGAGGGAACTGTGGGACTGGTAGGATTTAAAGAAGCAACTGAGTTCAAGGCTTTTTCAGTAATCGTTGGGAAACTCAGTAAAAGCCCGCATAAATAAAGTAATTTTAGGACGTAATGAAATTGAGGTGAATTAAGGAAAACTTGCTGTATCTAGGGTACTGTATGTTGTCTTCTTTAATTAAAAGTAGCAGTTATAGACACTTGAGTATCAAAAGATTTGTTAAATGCTAATTTACCTGAAATCGAATAATATTAGTAGACAAGTCTTTCTTACTTGTAGTGCAGTCTTTTTATTCAGGTCTTAGAAATTATGAGCACAGCCTTTAGTTGGACAGTGCGTTTTTTCTCCCCTTCTGCACATGGAAAGTGTGTTCATTCTGCACTTTGGAGGACTGATAAGGAGTTGCTGTAATCACTGAATCCAGCAGCTGCAAATGATATCTTACCATTTTTGGGAGGGCTGTCATATTTGTGTGGAGCCCCACTGAAGTTACTGACTTTATCTATGCCTTCAGACTCCTTGCACTCTGAAGATTGTAGGGCTGAGCATTAACTTTAAAATGCCTTTACTGTTCTGATGCTCGTCTTAAAGTCTCTTCTGATAATTCCTAATGCGCACATGTCTGTCTGGTAGCAGACAACAGAGAGCTGAATTAATTACTTTTGTAATTTTCCAGTAACTGGATTTTTGCAAAGGACTGAAGATAAACAACTGGCTTGAAAATTTGCTTTATACTGATGTTTGTTACTTCATCTGTAGTTTTTATTGGTAACATCTCCCAAAATTCTTCCTTTTTACTGTTTTAATGTCATTTTCACCTCAGTTATCTAAATTTATGTTTTATAATTACTGTAAACTCATGCATGCTTAATCTTTCAGTAGTTGCTTTGAGTTGGGTTTTATAGATATTAAAATTCTCTGTTTTGCTTTCTGTCTTTTTTTCTCTGTAAGAAAAGCATTTTATATATAAGAGTATGTACAAACTCAAATGCAGTCCAAAGTGCAGATATTCCTGGGGTAATTTTTTTTTATGTCCTCTGTTGCTGAGCTGCCATAAATATTGTGGTTTAGTGCTTGTAATTTTCTAATGCGAGTACAAGATAATTAGTTGTTCACATCCTGTGCATGGCATTTTCTCCTATTTTGTGATTATCACTGCTGTATAATGTGGTTTTGTTTTGTTTTTTTGTCTTCTTTTTTCAGAGCAATTGAACAGATTTGCTGGCTTTGGTATTGGCCTTGCAAGGTAAGAGTTGGGTTCAAAGGGGAAGTAAAGCTCTTACTTGTCTTATAAACCCTACATACACTTTTATATTGTGTTTTTATTCCAACAGTCATAAGCAGTAGTAGGTTTAGAAACCTATTAATCCCATTTAGGTTTCTGTTTTCTTTAACTGTTGCTCAAAAATACTTATGTGAATGTAAGAAACAGTTTTTTATATGGAATACCCGGGATGTGTATACCCTTTCCAAGTAATCTGAAAGAAACACCAGAAAACTTTTTTGACATTCGCAACTTCTAATAATATTTTTAGCCAACACAAATGTTTGCTAAGAAGGTGAAAATGTCTTCAGGTATATTAGCAAAGTATCCTGGGACTATGGTGTTCATCTAACCAAGTGGCCATTTTATTCTTTATTGTGGTGACCCTGATTATTGATAGTATCTTTGAGAAAGTGGTGAACTTGAAGATGCTGATGTCTAGGGAAAGTTTTACCTCTTTTGGTAGTGGCAAACTACTAATTAGTTTAATAGTTAGAAAACTGCAGTATTTTTCTGTGCCACTTGCACTTGTTGGTCGGGAGTTCAGAAACCTACCACAGATGATCCTGCAGCTTGGGGTGTTTGTAAATCTGATCTATGTCTCAGGTTTGAACAATATACAGGTAAGTACTCTGATCACCCAGGCACTTTGAGATGAAATGAATAGTTTCTCTGAATGGCTGCAACCAGGAATTCTGCTTTGGAAGTGAGAACTTTTCTGTGGAGTTTTGATTGAAATATGACTTCTGGCAGTGGTAGGAGAGTTGTTTTGGGTCAGTGGTATTTTCAGTGAAAAATTAGTACTAGTATCATTAGTATCAGTGAAAAGTTAGTACCAGTCTTTCTCTGGCCCTCCTAAGGAGAGTCTTGATTAATGATACAGTATGCAGAATTAGCATAAAACTGGGAACTAATCCTCTCATAATTGTGGTTTTGGTTTGTTTTGTACCCTGATACTTTGAGGAGGGTGAGACTAAGAAATTTGTTATGTTTTTTTGCTTATAAAAATATGTGCATACTACATATATATGGGCCTTTTTCATCGTAAGTGTGTATGTTAGATTATATGTAACTTGTTCCTTGAGAAGGCTGTTGGGTAGCCATCAAAAATGCCCTATTAGTTCCCTAGAAAATATATTGTTTTTCCAAGTACTGATGTGCTATTGTTAGAGACAATTAACAAAGAATTTTTTAGTGGCTGCCCATGCATTAAATGCAATTTTTCTTTAAAGCCTGTTTACAGAAAATGTGTTGGCACATCCTTGCATTGTTCTACGTCGTCAGTGTCAGGTACGTGTTTTATATTCCCTATTCCAGTAAAAGCTCCTGTGTACTGTCATATCTCTTTATTTTCATATGCTGTATGAAAATACGTAGTATAGGAAGCTTTGCAATTTTTTATGAGACTCTGCTACATTAACACATTTCTACTTGTAGAACACATGTATTCTATTCTGCAGTTTAGCTAATTTTGAAAAATCTTACTCATTTTTGTTTGGGCAGTGGAAAGCAAATTGTAGCAAGTAAGTGTTTTGGGGTCTGCAGTGCAGCTTTCAGATTCCCATTTACAAGCAGGATACTTTGTTTTCTGAGTTCTGATTTATGGATGGTTTATTGTTTAAATTTTCAGTATACAAATACTTAAAAGGGCTGCCCATTTCCCTAGATTTCAGTGAGAACTTACTCATATTTTTAGCTGATCTTTACAGAGTTAAAATTCTTAACATTTGAAACACCTTTATCCTTCAGAGTTGTAGTGTCTGCAAGTGTGTTTCTAAGGCTGCCATTATTTATATTTTTAACAGGTTAACTATCATGCACGGAATTACCATCTCACGCCATTCACTATTGTCAATATCATGTACTGCATCAACAAGACACAGGTCAGTATTTGGTGTCAGGCTGTATTCTGAGCACTGAGAGTTCCTGCTGCGTGTATGTACATTGAAAACTAAGTGTTTATGTAGGTGGTGTTGAAAAACACGGCTGTTATGAGGCTTTCTTATTTTTATAGTTGCAAAAATGTGTCAAGAAGATCAAGTAAACCATTATTTTTTTCAGAAGTACAGTGCTTAGTGGGGAAAGATTTATGGATATTAGAAAACAAAAGGTCCCTGAAGCTAATTCTTTTCATTAGGATTCTAAAAGTTCATTAATCATTACAGGGATAAAGTTATTGTTGAAGTGACTCCTTCCAAAGATAGTGCTGAATAAATTTCCAATTCTGCAGGGAAGTGGCAATCCTTAAACTCAGATCAGAAGGCAGGAAGAAATTCTAAATTCTGAATTTCCTATGGATGTACTTTTGACATCTTGAGCTCACTTTATCCATAGAAAATGGTGTTAAGTTTGTATTACGGTGTATTAAAGTGAGAGACATGCCTCCAAAATTATTGTCAGGTCTTTGAAATTACTGAAAAACAAAAATTTCTTCATAGATTAAAAAATGAGTTGATACCTGAATTTAATGACGAAGTTGAACAGTAGAATTGTAGCCTTGTGTGGTCCGAATGTACTGAAATTTTTTAATTAATAAGTTGAAAAAATGTTTGAGTTTTATGTTACATATTTCAATACACAGGGTCCAAGAGCTCTCTGGAAAGGAATGGGCAGCACTTTCATTGTTCAGGGCATAACCCTGGGAACAGAAGGCATCATCAGTGAATTTACACCTTTGCCAAGGTATTGCGTGAGTTTTTTACTGCTGCTAACAAATTAGTAAGTTGTTGGCTTATTTTCAAATTGTTAGTAAGGCTGTTTGAAAAATACTACTTCATGAGAGCAACCAGACATTGCACAGGTGTTTCCAAACACCGTGTGGTTGTCTTGGAAAAGACAACCTTATAATCCATAAATAGTGAGGGACTCTTTCTGGCAACTATTTGTTTGTGTATGCTTAGTGGTCTAAGTATAGAAATACTGAAGCAAATTGGTCTTCGGTATGCAACTCTGTAATTAAAAAAAAAAAATCATTATTTTCTTCTTTTATTTAGGTTTTTATAGTGTGGTAATAGCAAATAGCATACCTAAGGTAAAAATTCTTGGTCTTACTAATCTGAATATAGAAAACTTGCACAGCTAATGAGCCAGCACTGACATTTTGCTGAATATTTCCACTGTCTTTGGTAGGTGGGAGAACAGAATGGCCTGCATTAGTAAATGAGAAGGCATGGTAAATGAGCGTCCATGTGACTGGCAGCTTTGTCTTCTGACTTCCTTGACCATCAACTATATGTATCTTGTGCAGAACTCTCATAAAAAAGATGTTACAAATAAAAGTCACTGACTTCATTTAAAGAGATATTCATGACTTTACATCACTGTGTTAATCTTCTGCTAAGAAGCAGTAGAATTTTTAAAATTTTTTTACTAAAAATATTCAGGGACATGGAAACTACTATGGGTTTAAAAAGAAGAAATGTGGTTAGGCTGAATCAAATACTGTTAGGATGCATGTATCCATACTAATAAAAGTAGGCACTTGCAAGTTTAAAAGCACTAGCAAAAGCTACTTCATATTTATTTTAAATATTTCATATTTAAATTGTATAGAATGTGTACTTAAGGTTTTTTGGTCAGCTCATAGGCAATTGAAATTTCCAGGCGTGTGCTTTCCACCAAGTGTGTTTTAGATAGAGCTCTTATGGGTATGCTTAAGTTCATGAGATGTAATATAGTATTTATATCTTCATAGTTCTGAATTCTCATAGATCTGAGCAATTATTTTCTGCTTGTGAGCCAGTTCAGCAATTTGAAAAGTAAGCTGGTGCTGCTACCAAAAGAATCAAAACTTTCTGCTGGAAACTGCTGATTCCTTCTTCTGTGCGACCCCCATCTTTGTGGAAACACAGTATGTGAACAGTCAGGAAATTAACTGGATTGGGAAAATGATCTGGCTGAAATGGTTGTCTCATACATGCACCACCCACAGCAGTTTTCTACTGCATGCTCTCTTCCTTTTTAATGGTGGCTTGCATGTTTGGATGGTCACAGGGAGGAGAAAGTTATTGCTTGTAGCAGCAGTGCCAGAAAATCTGATTTTATAGGTTATTTAAATACATTATCAGGCTCCAAAGAACGCAAAGAAGTGAAATGACAATTCCATGTTATAGTTACATGAAATAATACCCCTCTTTAGGGAGACGAGCCCAGAAATGAGTGTTAACATTTTGTACTAGTCAAACCTGTTGCATAATTCTTCTTCCACTGCAGGGACAGTAAAATGCCTTGTTTGACAGGTTAGCCTTTCACACATTAGTTTGGCTGGTTTAATTTTCCACATCATTTAAGTATTATGGGTAAGTGGATGTGATCCAAGTGTCTGAAACATGTAATGGTAAAAATTATCTTCTGTCCCTCTTTAGTGATTGACCTATGCATTTAAAATGTGATAGCTAGTAACAGCACACAATTCTTCAAAAGAGTAAAATCTTGCCTTTCTTTGATTAGAGTTATTTTAACTACAAGCAGTGTCTGATTCTGATTCCTGGGCAACACTTGAAGCTGAGCACTTTATAGCTTGTTATTAAAAATGCAAAGTCTAGTGTGCCCAGCACTTCAGAAAAGTATCTGTGCCTCCTAGCTAGAATATTGACCATATGCATTGTAAGTACATGTGGTATTGGAATGATGTCTTGAGCTAGGGGGGTTTACATTTTCTGTCAAGTGGAATATAAACATTTGCTGTTTATATTTTGAAGTGTGTAGAAATACTACTTCAAGGAAGTAATTTTGTGTTAAAGACACGGGTTTTCTTCTGTTTCATCAGAATAAGATAAGGACTGGTCATAAGACAAAAAGTTCAGTTATGTCCTTATGGAATTACTCTGCAATTCTTGTCTGACCTCTTATACTCAATTTGGTTTTGTTTAACTGTGCCAGAATAAGATTTAGATTTTCTGGAAAGAAACAACAACAGGGTAGATATAACTTAAAGAGCAGAAGAGCACAACCAAACAAAAATGAAATAAAAATGATTTCTTGAAAAAGGAAAAGTATGAAGATTTTAAAATACTCTGGTATTCCCTGAAAATTGCTTTAAGCACTTGTACATAAGGTTGCTAAATAAATGGTGGACTGATTAACGTCAGTTGCTGTGAGAGTTGAAAACATCTTACTAATAAAAACTGAAACCTTTTTTGATAGAATGTCTGACAGACCCGAAAAACTACTAGAAGTTAAACGTGATTTACTCAATGTTTTGCTATGTCTTTCCAATATGGGAAATGCTGCAACATAAATAGTAGAACACTAATATGACAACTGGTTGTTGACACTCGTGGAAGAATTGCTTGAGAATTACATGTGAGTGGTTATTCATGTTGTGGTAAATACTTCTCTTTTTAGAGAGCTTTCACATAAATGGAACCTCAAGCAGATCGGTGGACACCTTTTACTCAAAGGGTACGTATAGCATGTGTCTTACCTCTTATTATCTAAACATAATAAAACTACCAAAAGGACATAAGTAGTCTGCTGCTGTTTACTTGACAAGATGCTAACTTTTCAAATGTACATTTAAAATGCTGATTTTTTTGAACAATCTTACATACACCACTTTCACAGGTTTTGTTATACTAGATCTCTGTGTCTATGGAATTCAGCTGATTTGAAAGATTAGATTCTTTTAGACCTTACTCAGTCTGGTCACATGGAAATAGAATTTAACTAAACTTTTGACTGAAGCTTATCCCAACTTGTTGATATACATTTTAGTAATTGAGTTATACCTTTGTTAATTTTCTCTCAGGAATAATTTGGTAGATAAGTTTATCAACTTCCAGGTGTCTGTTTGGCTAAAATTATAGTATATCACTATGTTAATTATTACATTGTTAATTTCTACAGGTTAACACGTGTGATAGCAATGCCTTTTTATTCTGCAAGCTTGATTGAAACTGTACAGGTAACTTACCTATATTTGGAACATTTAAAAAGATACTGTTATTCTTTAGATTATGTGGAGAAATGAATCTTTGAATTCAGGTTTATGTTGCAGTAGTTGCATTTATTTTGCTTGAGGCTCTGTGACTTTGCTGAAATGGGTGTTTACTATGAAGGGTAGATAGTTAACTCTAAATCTAGAATTAGAAAGGACATTTAATGTATATAGTTGGAATATATTGCATATGAAATAGGGACATGCTGTATCTATGTGTTCCAGCAGATAAAATAAAAAGAAGTCAAGTATAAAGTATCTTTGCTGGAAAACAATTAAAATTTAAAAAACCAGCATCTCTCTCAGCCTTTTAGGTAGGTAATCTTCTGTGTAATGGATTGTTTATGAAAATTCCACTGAGATCTGAGGATTTTAAGATTAGTAGCTTCAGTTGTTTGCAAGTATTTTAATGAACAAGAGTGTATGTGTGTGTATGTGTGTTAAAAAATATGTTCTTGAGTTCCTGGAAACATCATCATAAGCTTACTAGAAACATCACAGAGGTAATGATATCATTTGTGAAAATTTTTATACTGTATTAATCGGTTCAGGGGACAACTTGACTTGCCAGATTTGTGTTACATTCCTGTGCTACCAGAGGATAATGACCAGTGACAAACGACAAATGAGAGAAAGATTGTTGGATTTCCTACTAGCAGGTTTATATTGAAATAAATTGTTTTAATTCTGATAAACCATGCTGTTAAACAATTTCTGTTTTGAGACTTACCTAAGTAAATACATTTCATCAAAATAGCTGTAAATGGTGGAAATTTATAGTTGTCACATTTGTTCTTTTGTCATTAGCATCTCAAACCTCATGGTGGCGTGTTAGGCCACAGCAAGAATGGTTTTGAAGTGCTGTGACTGTGATGCAGTGATGTGGGACAGAAGAGGAGTCAGTAGGGGTTGTGCTGCTTAACTTGTACTTAAAGTTTGCATCAACGTGTTCTCGGGCATTTAAACTGGTTTCTCTCCCACACAGAAGAGACTGGAGGCTCTGCAGGCTGTTCAGTATTTCCTCAAAATACCGAGGAATATTCTGGTGGTTTATTCTGGCATGAAGTCAGGATATACACCACATGAATTCAGAGACTTTGACATTTAGGAGAGCACAGAAATCTTGAATTTTTGGATGTAAACCATGTGATAAAACACTGGAGTATAAGCATAAGTAGGGGAAAAATGTTTTTAGCTTAATCCTACACTCACAGGTGGAATGTAACAGAGTAAATAATTATTAGGCAATTTCTGTTTTCAGTATGCCTACAGAAAAATTATCTCTTCACAAAGGGACTGCATGGGTAAAGAATACTACTTTAAATGCACATAATGCTATGAAAACATTCAAGACTGAGCTTATTAAATTCATGTCAAAAATGACCCTTCAACACTACTTATATAACTTTACTATGTAGATTTAAGTTCAAAAGTTATAGTCATAGTCTTTAAAGTAAAGAAATTAAGTAATAATTAAATAAATAATTAAATAAGTACTTCGTGGCATTTTGCTCCAGATGTAGACATTCTAAGTTCATGACTATTTTCCATTCTACTACTTCAGCAGTAGGCTGAAAGTTGAATTTCTTTGGTAGAAACACAAATGACTACAATATACATTAAATGGGTTCATTCTCTGAAAAGGAGCTTAATTCAATGCTGTGAAAAGTGTCATAACAAGGGACTTTTATTTGTACAGCTGTGTAGCCACAATAGCATACAAGTGTTCTAGAACTTCAAAAATGCTGAAGTGTCAGAGTGGATGTCAGGATGGTTTTGAAGTGCTCAGCACGAGTTGTAACTCCTTCTTTGTGATTATAGAGTGAAATAATTCGAGACAATCCTGGCATCCTGGACTGCGTGAAAGAAGGAATTGGCAGAGTTGTAGGTTTGGGAGTACCCCATAGCAAGCGTCTGCTTCCCCTGATGGTCCTGATTTTTCCCACTGCTCTACACGGAGTTCTTCACTACGTCATCAGTTCCATCGTCCAGAAGTTTGTCTTGTTTGTTTTGAAAAAGGATAATTCCCACAACCTTCCAACTGAGAGCTCCACTTCTGTGCAGAGCATGCTGGATGCGTATTTTCCAGAACTTATTGCTAGCTTTGCTGCTAGCCTTTGTGCTGATGTCATGCTTTACCCACTGGAAACAGTTTTGCACCGCCTTCATATTCAAGGGACACGCACAATAATTGACAATACAGACCTTGGCTATGAAGTGCTTCCAATCAATACTCAGTATGAGGGAATGAAAGACTGCATAAATGTTATAAAACGTGAAGAAGGAATGAAAGGTTTTTATAAAGGATTTGGAGCTGTTATAGTACAGTATACCTTGCATGTGGCAGTTTTACTGCTTACCAAAATTATTTACTCAGCACTGCTTCAGAATGTTTCTTAATCTGTCCAAGTCTGGATCTAGCACATTGGACATGATTGAATTGCTAACCTAGTTACTGTTTAAATGGCTTAGAAAATGAACTTTGGGGAATCCACTCTGTGGAGGCTCCTTACACTGTAGAACAACTTGTTTTAAAAATGGGGATATAGTTTCCAAAATGTAATTTAAAAAGAACTGTTTAAAATTTACAGACACAAATTAAATATGTCACGTGCAGTCATACAAAGGGGATAAGATTTCAAATGTGATTGCATTGAGGATTTACTTTTCCTCTTAGTTCTCTGATAGAAGGAATGGATATGAATTGTTAGTATCTGCTTTATAAGCATCACATCTGATATTTAATATGGACTGTTATCCAGTTTAAAGGAATTTATTTTCTTAAGTTATAAGAACTCGCAAGTAGGGGGCTGATGGCTGTACTGGTCTTCTGAAAATGTTTCCAGCTTCACTGTTAATGGAACTGCGAGTGAAATAGAAACTGTAAAAGTGACTTAAGTAGGCTTAAATGTTTTTACAGGTACATGGAAGATTGATTTTGCTGCAGTCTGGCAGAAGATGACAAATGGGAATCTCTTGCTTTGTATAAAATAATGAAAAATTGGTGTGGGGCAAAGTTGCACCGAATGCTGTCTTGCAGTTTGTTTGTAAGGCTTACAATAACTGTGTCAATAAAGCAAAATAGAAACTAGTATGTGCATGTGTTAAATGCCATTTTTAGTTGACTTTCCACTGATAACTTCAGGGTTTAGTTTTACTCTGATGCTCCATATGATAGTGTAATAATTATACAGGTCTGTGTAGTAGTAGTAGTGGTGTTCAAAGTGTACAGAAAGCCTGAAAAACAATTGGCTGTTTCTAGAGTTTCTCTTCTTAGATTGGAGGGGTGTATAAAATTGTCTCCTAAAATATTTAGCACTGATGTCTATAATTTGAAGTCTCTGCTAGTTTAAATGTTTTGTGGAGCAGAGTTGTTTATGTGCAAGGGAACCACAGAAATGCGTAATTTTTGCCCTTTCCCCCCTCAGACTCAGCCTGAAGATGATTTTTAATCATTCTAAATAACCTAGTCCTTAGTTTCATCAGTAAGTATGGGCAATGGGGAGATGTTCTTTGCAAATAATAAAAGCATGTGGAAAGTCACTTTTAAAATTACGAAAGGCTGCTGACACAGTTTGCCTTTGCCCACTCAAGCTAGGGCTGCCTGGCTAGCTCAGTCGGTAGAGCACAAAACTCAGTCTCAGGGTCGTGGGGTCGAGCCCCGTATTGGGTGCCAGCTGACACAGTTCGCCTTTGCCCACTCAAGCTAGAGCTGCCCTGCTAGCTCCAAGGTGAGCCTGTGCCAAGAGTGGCCTTTTCCTGGGATCCTGGGAACCCAAGCTCCAAGCTCTTGCTGTGACGATACTGGTCTGAGGGAAAGTAAAGAGCGCAGGAGAGTCCTTTTGTAATTCCAGGATAGGGTTTATTGGAGAGGGATAGGGAACCAAGCAGGGTCAGGGAGGACGAACAACAAAAGGCAGGGAACACAGCCGTGCAGCAACTTAAATAGGGGCCCTCCCGCATGGGCGGGTACAATACAGCAACCAATGGCTACAGCTTAGGGGTGTGACTAAGGCGGGACTAAGTTTACACACAGCCAATAGAGGGAAACATAGGCGGAGACTATAACGCAACAGCGAATCATGTGCCAAGAAGGGGATGACTGATACAGAACGTGCTGGAAAGATAGGAGGGGCCAAGGGGGACTGACAACCATGTGGGTTGGGGCTAGGGTGACGAGCAGGGAAGAATCTGGAATATTGGAGGGGTTCGGGGATGGTGGACAGGGGTAGAGGCAGGAAGGGGAGAGTCCAAAATATCAAACTGGGGGTGCAACATAGGGATGAACCATTGTAGAACTAAGTACAAACCAATTAACACAATATAAAACCACACACCACGACAGGCTGCTACTTTTTTCACATTCATATGTGGCAAGTCTTTTTGTGAATGATGTAAACTGATCTGTGTTTTAATCATTAATCATTGTGTAGTTATCACTTATGGAAAGTACTCATAGTAAAATAATGCAAAGATGTTGCTCTTTGTAAGTTCTGACTTCAGATCAGATGTACCTTATTATTAATCTAACTTTCACGTGTTTTAAATGCTTAAGTGTTTAAATGGAAAGTACGGTGAACTTGGAAAGTGGTTTCTTTTGAAATACTATTGATTGCACTTTTAATGTATAGTGTATTAAATAAAATGAGAATTCACTGTAAGTATTATAAATTAACTCACCAAAGAATGATGTAAAGGAATCCTGTTTTGTGTGTTAAGTTTTACTGTATAGACTCCAGAATGGCATTTTCAAATTTCTTAACTTTCCTAAGTGCAAGAACATGGTGAATTAAACTACACATGCAAGAGCTTAGGTAAAATACTCAGTTCCTGGGCTGGTTTCTTTTAAAATTTCTATGAGTATAAATATGCTCATGCCAGAAAGTCATCCAGATTGGAAAGGACCTCTCCAGGTCATGCAATCCAAATTCCTCCTCGAAGCAAGGACAGCATTGCCTGGTATATGCCCTGGTCCAGTCAAGTTTTTAATACACGAAACTGGCCTTTTTCAAAGGTGTTAAATGTTGCAAACAATTTTGTCACAATTGCCTTAAAGCAATAACTAAGTGCAACTTGCAGTCCAACATTTCCAGATGTGTCTGTAAAATTGGCCAGTTCAGTTTTTCTAGGAATAAAATTTTAGGGTATTTTGCCTTATGAAGGGGAGGACTTGCCTTTATATATTTTTCAACAGGGGAGATTGGTTCTCAAGAGTGGCACTAGAGACTGCTATAATATTTTATTGTGACAAACACTTGCTTTCGTTGCTGTGTTTTACAGTTGCGGTCTAGGTTCTCAGATCCGTAACTTTAAAGCAGGGTGACAAAGAATGCTGTCAGTGCAGAGCAGCTGTTCTGCAGTGGAAAAAAACCTTTTACTTTGGGCTGTTCTTTTTTGGTCTTCTTCCCAGCAGTTAGAATGAACATGTTTCGATTTTTCATCTGTACTTCTTTTATTTTCCAAAACACAATACATTTTGTCCAGAGTTGCTGGGCGTTTGCCCATACAAAAATGTAAATTAGTTTGGGCTGAAAACCATAATTTTAACCTTTTAAGTGTTTCTGGTTTTCGTTTGGATTTTAAATCTGAAGTACTCAATTTTTAGCCCACACAAATGATCAGTAGGTGGCTTCAGCAAGAGATGCCACTGAAAATTACAAAATACTGAATTGGCTGTAGAAAGTAGGTTGTGGTGAAATATGAAGAATTCTTACACACCCTTGTACCTGATACAATTTTTTGTGCCTTGTTTTTCTTACGACATTTTTTTTTTTAATCTTTAAAGGAGAGCTGATTTCAAGGTCAATTTTCCTGAAGAAAGACAGACTCCAATGTTTCCCCCAGTGAATAATTACTTGGCTTCTGATCCATGTTTCTTAAAAGGAAAGCCTTCATGTGCAGTAAATGACAATAGACCAGGCAGGAAACTTTGAACTATGAGGCCTCCTGGAAACAGGCAAACATCTGCCTCTGTTCTTTCATGGACAGCATACACATCACACTTGGCTTTTAGTTGTGTTCGAGTGGAGCTTTTAGATCCAGTGTTGGTGCCAATACTGAATTCTCCAGGATTGCTCCACCTGTGTTCATTCCTTTTACCGGATCTACTCTGAGGTACCCGAGTTGGTCTGCCTCTGGGTACTGTCTGTAATAATGTGAAATGCCCAGTTTTACAGATTTATGCAGAATTTGTAAGACTCAAAATTACATGTTTTTCTTAGAGCCTCTGAATTTAGCAGCAAGTTCAAAGCAAGTATATAGAAGGTATTCATCTCACGTGGTTATTCAGCTGGATACATGTGTGCAGCTACAAACACTGCGAGAATCACAGAATATTCTGAATTGAAAGGGACATACAAGGATCATCAAAGTTCAGCTCCTGGCCCTGCACATGGCACCCCAAGAATCACACTAAGTGCCTGACAGTATTGTCTAAACACTTCTTGAACTCAGGTGCTGAGACCATTTCCCTGGGGAGCCTGCTCCAGTGTCCAAACACCCTTGTAGGCAAGAATCTTTTCCTAATACTCAGCCTGAAACTCCCCCAACACAACTTTAGGCCATTCCCTTCCGTCCTGTCACTGGTAACCAGACACAAGGATCATCTGCCCACTTCTTCACCTTCAGGGTTTGCAGACTCCCCTGGTATCTCTCCTTAGTCTCTTCTCCAGGCTGAACAGACCAAGTGACCACAGATGCTCATCGTAAGGCTCCTCCTTCAGCTCCTTCATCATCTTTATGGCCTTCCTTTGGACACTCTTAGTAACTTTATATCTTATATTATGGCACCCAAAACTGCCCCCAGGACTTGAGGTGAGGCTGCCTCAGTAAAAAGCAGAGCAGGACAATCCCCTCCCTTTCCCAGCTGGTGATGCTGGGCCTGATGCCTCCCAGGACAGGGCTGGTCCTCCTGGCTGCCAGGGCACTGCTGGCTCATGTCCAGCTTGTCATCCCCCAGGATCCCCAGGTCCCTTTCCATGGTGCTGTTCTCCAGCCTCTCATTCCCCAATCTCCCCATACATCCACAGTTGCCCCATCCCAGGTGCAGAATCCAGCACATTCCCCTGCTGAACTCCACACAGCTGGTGATTGCCCAGCCCTTGGCTTCATCGAGATCTCTCTGCAGGGCCTCCCTGCCTTTGAGGGAGTCAGCAGCTGCTCCCAATTTATTGTCATCAGCAAACTTTTTTAGTGTACTTTGCAGTTCTGTGTCCAAATCATGTATCAAAATATGAAGAGCACAGGGCTGAGGATGGAGCCCTGCTGAATCTCACTAGTGACAGGTCACCAGTTTGATGTCACCCCAGTCACTGTCCCTGTTTGTGCCTGACCTGTGAGCCAGTTCCTCACCCATCACATGATGTGTTTATGCAGCTGTGGGCTGGGTGATTTGTCCAGAGCGATCTTGTGAGTGACAGTATTAAAAATGTTACTGAAATCCAAAAAACTTACATCAACTTTGCTTTGATCAGCCAGGTGGGTTAACTTGTCATAAAAAGAAATCACATTTGACAAAGAAGGCTTTCCCCTCATGAAGCCATGTTGGCTGTGATGGATGAGTGCATTGTCCTTCAGGTGCCTAGAATATTCCTAAAGCTCCTGGGTGATAGCTTTATTGTACTAAGGCATCACAAGCGGTAAAGGTGCTGAGTAGGAAAGATGCCCTCCTTGATTTGTTGTTCATTAACAGAGGATGTTTTGTGGCTGGATTAGTGGCTGTCTTGGCCACAGTGATCATGTAGTCATTGAGTTTAAAATCTGATGACAAGAGGAAACGTGCCTCAACTGTGGACATGAGGAGAGAAGACTTCAGGAACCAGTAATGAGGTCTCTGAGAAAATATTTTAGAAAGTGCTGGAGTTCATCAGTGCTGGTCACTTTTTGAGCACCACCACCTAAATTCACAGGAAATTCCAAAATGTTGGAAGTCAAGCAAGTGAGGCAGAAGGCTGGATTGGCTGAGCAGGGATCTTTTGGAGCTAAAGCAAGAAAAAGAACATGTATACCCAGTGGAAGCAAGGTTGGGTGACATGGGAGAAAAATAAAGATGCTGCTGTGAGGGAGAAAATTCATGCAGCCAAAACTCGGCT